AGGCCAAAGGACCGAACCCAGAGCCCATCCAACAGAGCTCGCCGGTCTCCGAGCTGAGCTGGTCCGACTCCGTCAGATTTTCAGTCTCCAGTAGCTCCTGGTGGACAATCTAACCTCCCTGCTTTTCCAGTTACCGGCTCCACCAGGTCCTGCGCCACCAGTCCAGTCTGCGCCAGGTCCCGCGCCACCAGTCCAGTCTGCGCCAGGTCCCGCGCCACCAGTCCAGTCTGCGCCAGGTCCCGCGCCACCAGTCCAGTCTGCGCCAGGTCCCGCGCCACCAGTCCAGTCAGCGCTAGGTCCCGCGCCACCCGTCCAGTGAGCGCCAGGTCCCGCGCCAGCCGTCCTGTCAGCGCCAGGTCCCGCGGTGGTCCAAGAGGCTCCGTCCCCGGGCCAGCCTGTCCAAGAGGCTCTGCCCCCGGGCCAGCCTGTCCAGTTGTCAGCGCATATTCCGGCGGCACCAGCCAGGGAAGCGGTCCCGTCTGCAGTAACTCCGCCTCCACTCCAGAAGTTGGCGGCCCCTCCTGCGGCACCTCCACTCCAGAAGTCGGCGGCGCCTCCAGTCCAGAAGTCGGCGCCTCCAGTCCAGAAGTCGGCGCCTCCAGTCAGAAGTCGACGCCTCCAGTCCAGAAGTTGACACCTTCAGTCCGGAAGTCGAAGCCTCCAGCCCGGAGGTCGACGCCTCCAGCCCAGAGGTCGACGCCTCCAGCCCAGAGGTCGACGCCTCCAGCCCAGACGTCGACGCCCCCAGCCCAGACGTCGACGTCGACGCCCCCAGCCCAGACGTCGACGTCGCCTCCAGCCCAGAGGTCGACGTCTCCTCCTCCAGCCCAGAGGTCGGCGCCTCCTCCTCCAGCCCAGAGGTCGGCGACGTCTCCTCCAGCCCAGAAGTCGACGACGTCTCCTCCAGCCCAGAAGTCGACGACGTCTCCTCCAGCCCAGAAGTCGACGACGTCTCCTACAGCCCAGAAGTCGACGACGTCTCCTACAGCCCAGAAGTCGACGAGGTCTCCTCCAGCCCAGAATTCGACGACCTCTACACCAGCCCAGAAGTCGACGACGTCTCCTCCAGCCCAGAAGTCGACGACATCTCCTCCAGTCCAGAAGTCGACGTCGTCTCCTCCAGCCCAGAAGTCGACGACGTCTCCTCCAGCCCAGAAGTCGACGACGTCTACACCAGCCCAGAAGTCGACGACGTCTCCACCAGCCCAGAAGTCGACGACGTCTCCTCCAGCCAGAAGTCGACTCTCTTCCAGTCCAGAAGTCGACTACGTCTCCTCCAGCGTCTCTACCTGCCGAGTCTACCCCTGCAGCGGCTCTGCCTCCGGTCACCGCCGGTCCTGCCCTCGCCAGGTGCGGAGGGACCACGCCTACAGCCCATCAGACGAAGCTCGCCGGCCTCCAAGTGTAGCTTGACCGGCTCCGTCAACTCATCAGCCTCCAGGAGTTCCAGCTGGACACCCTTTCCTCCTCGTATCTCCAGGAGAAGGTTTCTGTCCAGCCAGCGGCCCCGCCTCCGGTCCAGTCAGCAGCTCCCTCGTCTCCAGGCCAAAGGACCGAGCCCACAGCCCATCCAGCAGAGCTCGCCGGTCTCCGAGCTGAGCTGGTCCGACTCCGTCAGATTTTCAGTCTCCAGGAGATCATAGTGGACAATCTAACCTCCCTGCTTTTCCAGTTACCGGCTCCGCCAGGTCCTGCGCTACCAGTCCAGTCTGCGCCAGGTCCCTCGCCACCAGTCCAGTCAGTGCCAGGTCCCGCGCCACCAGTCCAGTCAGCGCCAGGTCCCGCGCCACCCGTCCAGTCAGCGCCAGGTCCCGCGCCACCCGTCCAGTCAGCTCCAGGTCCCGCGCTACCCGTCCAGTCAGCGCCAGGTTCTGCGCCACCCGTCCAGTCAGCGCCAGGTCCCGCGATGGTCCAAGAGTCTCCGCCCCCGGGCCAGCCTGTCCAAGAGTCTCCGCCCCCGGGCCAGCCTGTCCGGTTGTCAGCCCACAGTCTGGCTGAACCAGCCAGGGGAGCGGTCCCGTCTGCAGCGGCTCCACCTCCACTCCAGAAGTTGGTGGCCCCTCCTGCGGCGCCTCCACTCCAGAAGTCGGCGGCGCCTCCAGTCCAGAAGTCGACGCCTCCAGTCCAGAAGTCGACGCCTCCAGTCCAGAAGTCGACGCCTCCAGCCCGGAAGTCGACGCCTCCAGTCCGGAAGTCGACGCCTCCAGCCCGGAAGTCGATGCCTCCAGCCCAGACGTCGACGTCGCCTCCAGCCCAAGGGTCAACGTCTCCTCCTCCAGCTCAGAGTTCAACTCCTCCTCCTCCAGCCCAGAGGTCGGCGACGTCTCCTCCAGCCCAGAAGTCGACGACGTCTCCTCCAGCCCAGAAGTCGACGACGTCTCCTCCAGCCCAGAAGTCGACGACGTCTCCTCCAGCCCAGACGTCGACGACGTCTTCTCCAGCCCAGACGTCGACGACGTCTCCACCAGCCCAGAAGTCGACGACGTCTCCACCAGCCCAGAAGTCGACGACGTCTCCACCAGCCCAGAAGTCGACGACGTCTCCTCCAGCGTCTCTACCTGCCGAGTCTACCCCTGCAGCGGCTCTGCCTCCGGTCAGCGCCGGTCCTGCCCTCGCCAGGTGCGGAGGGGCCACGCCTACAGCCCATCAGACGGAGCTCGCCGGCCTCCAAGTGGAGCTTGACCGGCTCCGTCAACTCATCAGCCTCCAGGAGTTCCACCTGGACACCCTATCCTCCTCGTATCTCCAGGAGAAGGTTTCTGTCCAGCCAGCGGCTCCGCCTCCGGTCCAGTCAGCAGCTCCCTCGTCTCCAGGCCAAAGGACCGAACCCAGAGCCCATCCAACAGAGCTCGCCGGTCTCCGAGCTGAGCTGGTCCGACTCCGTCAGATTTTCAGTCTCCAGTAGCTCCTGGTGGACAATCTAACCTCCCTGCTTTTCCAGTTACCGGCTCCACCAGGTCCTGCGCCACCAGTCCAGTCTGCGCCAGGTCCCGCGCCACCAGTCCAGTCTGCGCCAGGTCCCGCGCCACCAGTCCAGTCTGCGCCAGGTCCCGCGCCACCAGTCCAGTCAGCGCTAGGTCCCGCGCCACCCGTCCAGTGAGCGCCAGGTCCCGCGCCACCCGTCCAGTCAGCGCCAGGTCCCGCGGTGGTCCAAGAGTCTCCGCCCCCGGGCCAGCCTGTCCAAGAGTCTCCGCCCCCGGGCCAGCCTGTCCAGTTGTCAGCGCACAGTCCGGCGGAACCAGCCAGGGGAGCGGTCCCGTCTGCAGCGGCTCCACCTCCACTCCAGAAGTTGGTGGCCCCTCCTGCGGCGCCTCCACTCCAGAAGTCGGCGGCGCCTCCACTCCACAAGTCGGCGGCGCCTCCAGTCCAGAAGTCGACGCCTCCAGTCCAGAAGTCGACGCCTCCAGCCCGGAAGTCGACGCCTCCAGTCCGGAAGTCGACGCCTCCAGCCCGGAAGTCGATGCCTCCAGCCCGGGGGTCGACGCCTCCAGCCTAGAGGTCGACGCCTCCAGCCTAGAGGTCGACGCTTCCAGACCAGACGTCGATGCCTCCAGCCCAGACGTCGACGTCGCCTCCAGCCCAAGGGTCAACATCTCCTCCTCCAGCTCAGAGTTCAACTCCTCCTCCTCCAGCCCAGAGGTCGGCGACGTCTCCTCTAGCCCAGAAGTTGACGACGTCTCCTCCAGCCCAGAGGTCGACGACGTCTCCTCCAGCCCAGAAGTCGACGACGTCTCCTCCAGCCCAGAAGTCGACGACGTCTCCTCCAGCCCAGAAGTCGACGACATCTCCTCCAGCCCAGAAGTCGACGTTGTCTCCTCAAGCCCAGAAGTCGACGACGTCTCCTCAAGCCCAGAAGTCGACGACGTCTCCTCCAGCCCAGAAGTCGACGACGTCTCCACCAGCCCAGAAGTCGACGACGTCCCCACCAGCCCAGAAGTCGACGACGTCCCCACCAGCCCAGAAGTCGACGACGTCCCCACCAGCCCAGAAGTCGACGACGTCCCCACCAGCCCAGAAGTCGGCGACGTCTCCTCCAGTCCAGAAGTCGACGACGTCTCCTCCAGTCCAGAAGTCGACTACGTCTCCTCCAGCGTCTCTACCTGCCGAGTCTACCCCTGCAGCGGCTCTGCCTCCGGTCACCGCCGGTCCTGCCCTCGCCAGGTGCGAGCTTCCCAGAGCCCGCCGCCATCTCCTCCTCTGCCCCAGACGCAGGCCCCCCCAGAGCCTGTCACCGTCTCCTCCTCTGCCCCAGACGCAGGCCCCCCAGAGCCCGTTGTCGTCTCCTCCTCTGTCCCAGACGTAGGCCCCTCAGAGCCCGTCGCCGTCTCCTCCTCTGCCCCAGACGCAGGCCCTTGGACTCTACTGGTCCCTGCCTCTTCTCCACCAGTCCCTCGGTTCCTCTCGGCCCTCCTTCCTGGTCCCCCTCCTCCCGCCCTGCTCTGTGTTCCTGTGGGCGTCTGGAATCCGCCCTCTGGGGGGGGGGGGGCTTTTATTGTGGGCAGTATAAGGTACACCTGTGCACTACTCATGATGTCGGATCAGCATCTTGATGTGGCATACCTGTGAGGTGGGATGGATTATGTCACACCCTGTCCTGTCTCCCCATTCTGTTCAGTCATGTGTCTCTGTTAATTGCTCCCGCCTATCTCTCTTTTTCCAATCACCCAAGCTCCCAGCCCTCATGTATTTAAACCCTCTCAGTTCTGTGTCTTTTGACGGTTTATTGTTTCAGTGTCCAGCGTGTTTTTATATTAAACTTTACTAAACGTTCGTGTTTATCTGCCTGCCTTCCTCACCCGCATGTGGATCCTCATCTCCGCTTCACTCACCAGCATGCCGTGACAGATTATCTCAGCAATGCAGAAGTGCTCACTATCACACATTTAGACTGATTTGTGAACAATGTTTGAGAAAAATGGTAATATTGTGTATCTGGAATGTATTTTAGATCTTTATGTCCATCTCATGGAAAATCAGAGCAGAAACAAAGGTATTGCGTTTATATTTTTGTTGAGTGTATGTGTAAATGCGGTGTTGGTCAGAACTTCAGAATCTCGGAAAGCGGCGTCTCTGGATGAAAAAGAATTTGGTTTGTTCTAAACTATGATGTTATCTTCAGAAGCACATTCAGACGCAATCTCTGTGTTCTACCTCACCCTTTTGATGACCTTCGTCACGGATTCGGAGGTCAGAGAGGCAGGATGACCTCTGGGCACCCAGGTCCGGTAGATTGACTGCGAGCACCGACTTCTCCGGTCCAAAAGATATCACCACGCAGCACAGGTTGGAATCAGCTTGCGTCTCAGGAATAACTCTTAAGGAGTTGAACAATATCAGCTTTGTTCTGCATGAACTGTTTGCTGTCTCAGCTTTGTAGGTGCAAAAAGGTTTTGATGATGTGTCAAAATCTTTGATTATTAAAGAGATATGCTAAAGATGGCCGGTCTGAAGCTTTCTCTAGAACTGGCAAATCACTCAAAGTGATTTAGTTTTAAAGAATTTATGTTATGATTTTCACAGTCAATCAGAGGCTGACAGGAAAGAAGATGTTACCAAGACAACTCAGAAACACGCCTTCTTTAATATGGAAGTCCTGACTGGTAAAGAAAACAAGTTATGTGTTGTAGTCTAACTTAACCGTACTTGTTATTGTGGATGTGCAGGTGTGAGGACCTTGTCGTCAAAACATCTGAGGAGACAGAAAAATGGGAACGGTGCGGTAAAGTTATGAGGAAAAACATTCAGAAGTTAACCTTTCTACCTATTACTTACCTAAAAATGTTTTTGTGTAACAGATGATGCATTCTGGATAATTGGAGTGTCGAGAAAACCGGATGACTTTTGAACGTTTTGGTGAGTAGGCAGTTTTAAGACCGCTAACGGACTAGCAGCAAAAGCTTATCTTAAAGTGAAACTGAGTTGGAAAAAACTTATTTATGTGCTAAAACGTTTAAGTACCAGTTCACTGACAGTATGTTGAAAATGTATTGGTTTTAATCACTAGTATGAAGCTAGTCTGGTGACATTGAGGGGGGGGGGGGGGGGGGGGGGGACCTTGCCACGCAGTCGTGGCCGCAAGTTATTTTTCCCCCTCAAATGTCACCAGACAGGCACCATAATAGGAGTTTTCCATTTGCTGTAACATTTTTTCTTTGCCAAATAACCTCCACTTTGTACAGCGATACTGCTAAAAGATGGTGATGAAACCAGAGACCTGATTTTTTTATGAATGGGTAAATTAAATGATTCTGTACTTAATTATTTAAAGAAAACTTCACATCTGTGAAAACACTTTTGTTAAAAACAGATTTACAGCCATGATTTAAGGTTATATTTTTATCTTTTGGGAAGAAATTATTACAAAGAAAAACATTGTAATAAAAATGGATTTTTGTAAAGATTTATTGTGCTCAATAGTAATCTTTGACATGCTATATACAGGGTACATGTGCTATATATGACTATCAAAGGTATTGGCCAGACTCAGCATTAAAATTGTAAAAATTCAGTGTAACTATACTTTACCAATTATATAAATATGAACTTGGTTCAGTTTTTCATTTTGTTAAAGAGCAAGTCACCCTCAAATCAACTTTTTTTGCTATTAAACTATATAAATGAGTCTCTAATCGTTAGGGGTATAACAGTACGCTAAAATCGTATTCGATTCGGTTCAGTGTTTTGAAGAGCTCAGTACAAATCGTTTTCTGTATATTATTATATTTATTTATTTTTTGTCTGAAGCGGCTTCTGTAGTGAGCAGAACCAGGTGTCCTCACAAGCTGCTGATCTAGTATGATGTCTTTAAATATTTCACAGTTTATTTGCGCAGCTATGAGTGTCACTCTCATACGTGTTTGACTGTTGATGCGCCTTGTTTTTATTTCTGCAGTGAGCCTTGAAAACTCACCTCAGACTGCCCACTTTCTTCTTTAAAACTCATATTAGAGGGTATCCGCAGGTCCTTAAAAAGTCTTAAAGTTTTAAATTTGCTTTTTTAAATTTAAGGTCTTAAAAATCATTAGAAATGACAAATAATCCTTAATTACAGTTTCCAAATGTCTTAAATTACCAAAGACCCAATGAACAAGAATTTGTAGTTAGTGTTCAGCATTATTTTTTTATGATATTGGCATAAGTGGAACTGTACACATTCAGTTGGTTGTGAAAGGGGGCTATTTTTAGATGAGCACATTAGCTGGTTAAGCTAGTGGGAGCTTGCACCATGGGGAAGTGCAAGTTTAATGGTAACTGGGTGGGTAATCCCACGTTTGCGACGTGGTTAGCACCAGTGCCAGGCAATAGCTGAAAATTATAGCTTAAATATAATTAAAAAATAGCTTAAATTTGGTCAAAGTGGCCTTAAAAAAGGTCTTAAAAAGCCTTAAATTTGGCTCCCTTAAACCTGCAGATACCCTGTTAAATAACGAGCTTTCTTCGCATCGTATTTTTTGTTGTAGAATGAAAACATTACATCAACTGCCGTGGGGGAAAAGTTCAGTAGACATGTTGTTTACGTTCAGCGTCTCTACTGTCTCCACAGTAGCAGCGACAGCCAGCTGGTTTGATCTGCTCAGAAAGACGTTGATCAGAATTTGCAGATCACCTTTTTTAATCGGAGATCAGGTGCGTGCAACCATCATGCGTCACTCAATACAGCGTCGGTGCGGAAACTCGCCTATGAACTTTGATCTGCTGCACTTAAATCATGCAAACAAAATTTCATTATTTAATGGAAAATGAACCAAAATGGTACGCAAGTGGCCCGAACCGTTAAACCCCTAATATATACATGCAGCTGTAAAATTGGCAGCACATAATTTTGTTTTTTTTTCTGTAGATTACTGAATTACACATCAGGACAGTATGATGGAGTTAAGACCTGTAGTCAGCTGAGAGCTCCCGGTGGTACGAGCACAAAAATTAAATATTTAACAAAAGTAAACAAACTGTACCGATTTTGGTTCGTAAGACTAACAGAATCCTTCCCGGTGTCCAAATCGGGTCGCGGGTCTTCTGCGTCAAACGGTCCAAAACATGTCTGCACCTCCGGTAGTGATATCCAGCTAGCGGGGTCGGAGTTCGGTTGAACTTCTCCGGTAGTCATCCCAGAGAAAAAAACAATCTGACCGACTAGCAGAGGCTTCAGAAGCTACATCTTGACTGATGACACATTGTTCTCAGCTATAACTCTAACACAGAAACATCGTAGTCAGGTGCTTTTTCTTCAGACCTCCTGTGAAACGTCACCAGCTGTCCAGGGCTTAGACCTGAAGCTAGTTTCTGTTTTTCCCGCGCCAGTCAGAAACATAAGATTTTCTTCAAATTCCAGCCGTGAAAATCCAAAAACATTTTTCATTGAGGTTTTATACTTTAAACATGCCATTCAAAGGAATTTAGCCTGTGGCCAATATCATTAAGATAGATTTTGAGTACTAGATAGTAAAGCCTCTATTCTGTGGTTAGAAGTCTCCTCGACGAGGGAGTGGAGAGCCGGACCAGAACACATCATCTCCTTTTCCAAGGGTGATGAACGAGATGTACTGAACCTCACTGAGGAAACAGCACCGGCAGGATTCAGCAGTGTGGTAGGACTGACTTTGGGTTGCAATGATTATAAATTTATAAAAAAAATTTGCCCCCTCAGAGTTTTCATGAATGTTAACTAGATCTATTAAAGCTTAAAGGGCTTTCTGATCAGTTTATCTCTGCTGTCAAATTGGCATTTTTGACATGTGATTCGATGAGGATTAGCTCTCTTCTGGTGGATGAGGGTGGAAATGCATTTTTTTTGCCTCTTCCTTGTTGGCTTCACTTTCATACCAGAATTATGGGGGCTGTCGTGGTGGAAATTATTCCATCTAACCACTCCCTGGTTCTTTGGAGGTGACCCTGAAGAGAGATCCACACTTTAAGCTAGGGCTGGGCGATATGGCCTAAAACTAATATCACAATATATTGAGGATTTAACCTCAATAATGATAAATGGACCATAACTGCAGGTAAGTTGTCCACTAGATGGGGCTGTCACATGTATTATATTTAGTCACATTTTTACGCATCTCAAGGTGGTACAGCTTCTTAAAGGGACATAAATGTTGCCCAGCTACACACATCTTTTCATTTTTTTATTATCAAATTTATTGACATGGGAAAAATGATCTCGATAAGAGTCAGAAATTTCGATAACGATACATTTTCGATTTATTGCCCAGCCCTACTTTAAGCCCATTATAATATGTACACACACAAAGATCTTTGGTTGGCTTCTGGTGAGAAGAACACAAGCAGTTCCCTGCCGATGTATCTTCTAACTTTCGACTCTTCTCGTCAGCCCTTTTATTGAATTGCATGAAAATTTTTTTTAATTTTACAACAGTTCCACAATAGACTGGGGCGTTCCCACTTCACAGTCATACACTACTCCTCCTCATGTGAGTGGTCTTCATGAGTTCACAGTCTAAAGCACCTTCTGACTTTCCCTGACCCTCAACATCCAAGACTTTTTCTAAGACTGAACTTGTGATCTCTGGCTCAGCAACGAGGTCAAAAGTTTATCAATCAGACACTTCCCCATGACATAACTCGTGATCTTCTTTTGACCACAAGCAGTAAGAGTCAGGCCATTGTTATAGAAACTTTCAACACCAATGTTTTCTGGAACGTTATCTCTGTTAGTCTGCAGCACTTCGACAAAGTTTTATTTCCTTATATATGAAGATTAAATGATTGACCAACACATTCATAACCTGACAGCAATTAGACTGAAGTTGACTATATTAGTTTAAACAGAAAAGGTTATATTGGTTAAGTGTAAAAATGATTACTCTCAAAAAGATTATATTGATTAGCTTTAAAAATGATTATGCTGATTAGGGCTGCAATGATTCCTCGAGTAACTCGAATGATTCGCTGACAAAAAATATTCGAGAATTTTCCGCTGCCTCGAGGACTCGTTAAATAGACCATAGCTGAATATCCGGCATTGCGCATGGATTCTTTATGTGTTGCGCAACGCGGTTACGTCACAGATTATACGTGCCATGTACTCTACTGCACAGCGCGCAGCGGTCTTTTCGTCTTTTCAGCTGGGTAGCCGACAATGGCAGACGCCATGGAAATAAATGAAAACGAGCAAGACCAAAACGAAGGATATAGTAAGCGACAGAAGTTTTCCAAGGCATGGGATCACTTTACATTAAAAAGCAAGGAAAACGCCATTGTATGCAAGCATTGCAAGGTGGAGCTACCACAACAGCACTTCTTCCATGCTGCTGCACCTCTTAAGAAAGCATCCGACTGAGGGCATGAGTGAACGTGCCGAGATCAGGTAAATAAACTTTTTTTCAGGACGTAAATATTGACTCAGCTGTAGTGTCAATAAAATACATTTATTTGTTATAAGTTAATTTTAAATTTCTGCCCTAAAATGCATCTGTTAAGTGTATATTTTTAAAATTGGTTTACAAAAAAAAAATCTTTGTGTAGCGGAGGCAAATGTGTATTATTTATTTGATATTCTGTATAAATATACAATATTACCTTACTTGATCTTTATTGTAAATATCAGAAGATTATAGGATTTTTGCTTTATTAAGTAATTATACACACCTCGTCTTGATTCAGAAAAGAGTCAGGTTTATAATTGTAAGAATTTATTTTAGAAACAATTAAAACATGACAAGTGAACTAAGCATTTACTGTGAATGGATGGAGCTAAAGGTGATGTAGGAACCTACACTCAACAAAAATATAAACGCAACACCTTTGTTTCTGCTCCGATTTTTCATGAGATGGACTTAAAGATCTGAAATTCAGTCCAGATACACAATATTACCATTTCTCTCAAACATTGATCACAAATCAGTCTAAATGTATGATAGTGAGCACCTGTGCTTTGCTAAGATAATCCATCCCACCTCACAGGTGTGCCACATCAAGATGCTGATCTGACATCATGAGTAGTGCACAGGTGTACCTTATACTGCCCACAATTAAAGGCCACCCAGGAATGTGCAGTTAATTGCTTTATTGGGGGTCTGGGGACTCAGAACCGGTCAGTATCTGGTGTGACCACCATTTGCCTTATGCAGTGCAACACATCTTCTTCGCATAGAGTTGATCAGATTGTCAATTAAGTACCGGTCAGTATCTGGTGTGACCACCATTTGCCTTATGCAGTGCAACACATCTTCTTCGCATAGAGTTGATCAGATTGTCAATTGTGGCCTGTGGAATGTTGGTCCACTCCTCTTCAATAGTTGTGCGAAGTTGTTGGATATTAGTGGGAACTGGTACACGCTGTCGTATACGCCGGTCAAGCACATCCCAAACATGCTCAATGGGTGACATGTTCGGTGAGTATGCGTGGCCATGCAAGAACTGGGACATTTTCAGCTTCCAAGAATTGTGTACAGATCCTTGCAACATGGGGCCGTGCATTATCTTTGCTGAAACATGAGGTAATGTTCATGGATGTACGGCACAACAATGGGCCTCAGGATCTCATCACGGTATCTCTGTGCATTCAAAATGCCATCAATAAAATGCACCCGTGTTCTTCGTCCATAACAGATGCCTGTCCATACCATAACCCCACCACCACCATTGGCCACTCGATCCACAACATTGACATCAGCAAATTGCTCATCCGCATGACGCCACACACGCTGTCTGCCATCTGCCCTGAACAATGTAAACCGAGATTCAACCGTGAAGACAACACCTCTCCAACATGCCAGACGCCATTCAATGTGAGCATTTGCCCACTCAAGTCTGTCACGGTGACGAGCTGGAGTCAGGTCAAGACCCCGATGGGGACGACGAGCATGCAGTTGAGCTTGCCTGAGACGGTTTCTGATTTAAACCCTCTCAGTTCTTTGTCTTTTGTTGGTTCATTGTTTCAGTGTCCAGCGTGTTTTTATATTAAACTATACTACACGTTTGTGTCTATCTGCCTGCCTTCCTCACCCACATGTGGATCCTCACCTCCGCTTCACTCACCAGCACGCCGTGACAGAATGAAACAAACTCCTAAAGGATCCAGTGGGGAGGTTCTCCCCTGGGAGTACCTGCTTCAGTTCCTCACCTCAAACCACCGGCCGGCTTCTCCTCCTCCGGCGTCGCATCGCCGCAGACGCCGCTGCCGAACCCCGGCCTCGGCGATCCTCTCCACCCTCCCGGAGCCAGTTGGGGGGTTGGACTGGGAGACGCAGCTAGACCGCTCCTGCTATGTGGGCACCAGACTGGCAGTGTGCTCCCCCAGAGTTAGCCCACGGTGTTGGGAAGGATGCCGGGCTCCAGCGTCAACCCCTGTCCCAGGACGGAACCACGGGCTCACCGCTACCCCGGCTTGGGACACCAGCTTGGACCCACCCCAGTCAGATCAGCGGCCCCATCTCCGGTCCAGTCAGCACCTCCTTCATCTACATGCGGAGGGCCCACGCCTACAGCCCATCAGACGGAGCTCACCAGCCTCCAAGTGGAGCTTGACTGGCTCCGTCAACTCATCAGCCTCCAGGAGTTCCAGCTGGACATCCTATCCTCCTCGTATCTCCAGGAGAAGGTTTCTGTCCAGCCAGCGGCCCCACCTCCGGTCCAGTCAGCAGCTCCCTCGTCTCCAGGCCAAAGGACTGAACCCACAGCCCATCCAACAGAGCTCGCCGGTCTCCGAGCTGAGCTGGTCCGACTCCTTCAGATTTTCAGGCTCCAGGAGCTCCTGGTGGACAATCTAACCTCCCTGCTTTTCCAGTTACTGGCTCCACCAGGTCCTGCGCCACCAGTCCAGTCTGCGCCAGGTCCCGCGCCACCAGTCGAGTCAGCGCCAGGTCCCGCGCCACCAGTCCAGTCAGCGATAGGTCCCGCGTCACCCGTCCAGTCAGCGCCAGGTCCCGCGCCACCCTTCCAGTCAGTGCCAGGTCCCGCGGTGGTCCAATAGGCTCCGTTCCGGGCCAGCCTGTCCAAGAGTCTCCGCCCCGGAGCCAGCCTGTCCAAGAGGCTCCGTCCCCGAGCCAGCCTGTCCAAGAGGCTCTGCCCCCGGGCCAGCCGGTCCAGTTGTCAGCGCACAGTCCGGAGGCACCAGCCAAGGAAGCGGTCCCGTCTGCAGCGGTTCCGCCTCGACTCCAGAAGTTGGCGGCCCCTCCTGCGGCGCCTCCACTCCAGAAATCGGCGGCGCCTCCAGTCCAGAAGTCGATGCCTCCAGTCCAGAAGTCGATGCCTCCAGTCAGGAAGTCGGCGCCTCCAGTCAGGAAGTCGGCGCCTCCAGTCCAGAAGTCGACGCCTCCAGTCCAAAAGTCGACGCCTCCAGCCAGGAGGTCGACGCCTCCAGCCCAGATGTCAATGCCCCCATCCCAGGGGTCGACGTCGCCTCCAGCCCAGGGGTCGAGGTCTCCTCCTCCAGCCCAGAGGTCGGCGACGTCTCCTCCTCCAGCCCAGAGGTCGGCGACGTCTCCTCCAGCCCAGAAGTCGACGACGTCTCCTCCAGCCCAGAAGTCGACGACGTCTCCTCCAGCCCAGAAGTCGACGACGTCTCCTCCAGCCCAGAAGTCGACGACGTCTCCTCCAGCCCAGAAGTCGACGACGTCTCCACCTGCCCAGAAGTCGACGATGTCTCCTCCAGTCCAGAAGTCGACGACGTCTCCTCCAGCGTCTCTACCTGCCGAGTCTACCCCTGCAGCGGCTCTGCCTCCGGTCACCGCCGGTCCTGCCCTCGCCAGGTGCGGAGGGGCCACGCCTACAGCCCATCAGACGGAGCTCGCCGGCCTCCAAGTGGAGCTTGACCGGCTCCGTCAACTCATCAGCCTCCAGGAGTTCCAGCTGGACACCCTATCCTCCTCGTATCTCCAGGAGAAGGTTTCTGTCCAGCCAGCGGCTCCACCTCCGGTCCAGTCAGCAGCTCCCTCGTCTCCAGGCCAAAGGACCGAACCCACAGCCCATCCAACAGAGCTCGCCGGTCTCCGAGCTGAGCTGGTCTGACTCCGTCAGATTTTCAGTCTCCAGGAGCTCCTGGTGGACAATCTAACCTCCCTGCTTTTCCAGTTACTGGCTCCACCAGGTCCTGTGCCACCAGTCCAGTCTGCGCCAGGTCCCGCGCCACCAGTCCAGTCAGCGCCAGGTCCCGCGCCACCAGTCCAGTCTGCGCCAGGTCCCGCGCCACCCGTCCAGTGAGCGCCAGGTCCCGCGCCAGCCGTCCAGTCAGCGCCAGGTCCCGCGGTGGTCCAAGAGGCTCCGTCCCCGGGCCAGCCTGTCCAAGAGGCTCTGCCCCCGGGCCAGCCTGTCCAGTTGTCAGTGCACAGTCCGGCGGCACCAGCCAGGGAAGCGGTCCCGTCTGCAGCGGCTCCGCCTCCACTCCAGAAGTTGGCGGCCCCTCCTGCGGCACCTCCACTCCAGAAGTCGGCGGCGCCTCCAGTCCAGAAGTCGGCGCCTCCAGTCCAGAAGTCGGCGCCTCCAGTCCAGAAGTCGGCGCCTCCACTCCAGAAGTCGGCGCCTCCAGTCCAGAAGTCGACGCCTCCAGTCCAGAAGTCGACACCTCCAGTCGAGAAGTCGATGCCTCCAGTCCAGAAGTTGACGCCTTCAGTCCGGAAGTCGACGCCTCCAGCCCGGAGGTCGACGCCTCCAGCCCGGAGGTCGACGCCTCCAGCCCAGAGGTCGACGCCTCCAGCCCAGACGTCGACGCCCCCAGCCCAGACGTCGACGCCTCCAGCCCAGACGTCGACGCCCCCAGCCCAGACGTCGACGCCCCCAGCCCAGACGTCGACATCGCCTCCAGCCCAGGGGTCGACGTCTCCTCCTCCAGCCCAGGGGTCGACGTCTCCTCCTCCAGCCCAGAGGTCGGCGACGTCTCCTCCAGCCCAGAAGTCGACGACGTCTCCTCCAGCCCAGAAGTCGACGACGTCTCCTCCAGCCCAGAAGTCGACGACGTCTCCTCCAGCCCAGAAGTCGACGACGTCTCCTCCAGCCCAGAAGTCGACGACGTCTCCTCCAGCCCAGAAGTCGACGACGTCTCCTCCAGCCCAGAAGTCGACGACATCTCCTCCAGCCCAGAAGTCGACGTTGTCTCCTCCAGCCCAGAAGTCGACGACGTCTCCTCCAGCCCAGAAGTCGACGACGTCTACACCAGCCCAGAAGTCGACGACGTCTCCACCAGCCCAGAAGTCGACGACGTCTCCTCCAGCCCAGAAGTCGACGACGTCTCCTCCAGCGTCTCTACCTGCCGAGTCTACCCCTGCAGTGGCTCTGCCTCCGGTCACCGCCGGTCCTGCCCTCGCCAGGTGCGGAGGGACCACGCCTACAGCCCATCAGACGAAGCTCGCCGGCCTCCAAGTGTAGCTTGACCGGCTCCGTCAACTCATCAGCCTCCAGGAGTTCCAGCTGGACACCCTATCCTCCTCGTATCTCCAGGAGAAGGTTTCTGTCCAGCCAGCGGCCCCGCCTCCGGTCCAGTCAGCAGCTCCCGCGTCTCCAGGCCAAAGGACCGAGCCCACAGCCCATCCAACAGAGCTCGCCGGTCTCCGAGCTGAGCTGGTCCGACTCCGTCAGATTTTCAGTCTCCAGGAGATCCTGGTGGACAATCTAACCTCCCTGCTTTTCCAGTTACCGGCTCCACCAGGTCCTGCGCCACCAGTCCAGTCTGCGCCAGGTCCCGCGCCACCAGTCCAGTCAGCGCCAGGTCCCGCGCCACCAGTCCAGTCAGCGCCAGGTCCCGCGCCACCAGTCCAGTCAGCGCCAGGTCCCGCGCCACCAGTCCAGTCAGCGCCAGGTCCCGTGCCACCCGTCCAGTCAGTGCCAGGTCCCGCGCCACCCGTCCAGTCAGCGCCAGGTCCCGCGCCACCAGTCCAGTCAGCGCTAGGTCCCGCGCCACCCGTCCAGTGAGCGCCAGGTCCCGCGCCACCCGTCCAGTCAGCGCCAGGTCCCGCGGTGGTCCAAGAGTCTCCGCCCCCGGGCCAGCCTGTCCAGTTGTCAGCGCACAGTCCGGCGGAACCAGCCAGGGGAGCGGTCCCGTCTGCAGCGGCTCCACCTCCACTCCAGAAGTTGGTGGCCCCTCCTGCGGCGCCTCCACTCCAGAAGTCGGCGGCGCCTCCACTCCACAAGTCGGCGGCGCCTCCAGTCCAGAAGTCGACGCCTCCAGTCCAGAAGTCGACGCCTCCAGCCCGGAAGTCGACGCCTCCAGTCCGGAAGTCGACGCCTCCAGCCCGGAAGTCGATGCCTCCAGCCCGGAGGTCGACGCCTCCAGCCTAGAGGTCGACGCCTCCAGCCTAGAGGTCGACGCTTCCAGACCAGACGTCGATGCCTCCAGCCCAGACGTCGACGTCGCCTCCAGCCCAAGGGTCAACGTCTCCTCCTCCAGCTCAGAGTTCAACTCCTCCTCCTCCAGCCCAGAGGTCGGCGACGTCTCCTCTAGCCCAGAAGTTGACGACGTCTCCTCCAGCCCAGAGGTCGACGACGTCTCCTCCAGCCCAGAAGTCGACGACGTCTCCTCCAGCCCAGAAGTCGACGACGTCTCCTCCAGCCCAGAAGTCGACGACATCTCCTCCAGCCCAGAAGTCGACGTTGTCTCCTCAAGCCCAGAAGTCGACGACGTCTCCTCAAGCCCAGAAGTCGACGACGTCTCCTCCAGCCCAGAAGTCGACGACGTCTCCACCAGCCCAGAAGTCGACGACGTCCCCACCAGCCCAGAAGTCGACGACGTCCCCACCAGCCCAGAAGTCGACGACGTCCCCACCAGCCCAGAAGTCGGCGACGTCTCCTCCAGTCCAGAAGTCGACGACGTCTCCTCCAGTCCAGAAGTCGACTACGTCTCCTCCAGCGTCTCTACCTGCCGAGTCTACCCCTGCAGCGGCTCTGCCTCCGGTCACCGCCGGTCCTGCCCTCGCCAGGTGCGAGCTTCCCAGAGCCCGCCGCCATCTCCTCCTCTGCCCCAGACGCAGGCCCCCCCAGAGCCTGTCACCGTCTCCTCCTCTGCCCCAGACGCAGGCCCCCCAGAGCCCGTTGTCGTCTCCTCCTCTGTCCCAGACGTAGGCCCCTCAGAGCCCGTCGCCGTCTCCTCCTCTGCCCCAGACGCAGGCCCTTGGACTCTACTGGTCCCTGCCTCTTCTCCACCAGTCCCTCGGTTCCTCTCGGCCCTCCTTCCTGGTCCCCCTCCTCCCGCCCTGCTCTGTGTTCCTGTGGGCGTCTGGAATCCGCCCTCTGGGGGGGGGGGGGGGGGGGGGGGGGGGGGGGCTTTTATTGTGGGCAGTATAAGGTACACCTGTGCACTACTCATGATGTCGGATCAGCATCTTGATGTGGCATACCTGTGAGGTGGGATGGATTATGTCACACCCTGTCCTGTCTCCCCATTCTGTTCAGTCATGTGTCTCTGTTAATTGCTCCCGCCTATCTCTCTTTTTCCAATCACCCAAGCTCCCAGCCCTCATGTATTTAAACCCTCTCAGTTCTGTGTCTTTTGACGGTTTATTGTTTCAGTGTCCAGCGTGTTTTTATATTAAACTTTACTAAACGTTCGTGTTTATCTGCCTGCCTTCCTCACCCGCATGTGGATCCTCATCTCCGCTTCACTCACCAGCATGCCGTGACAGATTATCTCAGCAATGCAGAAGTGCTCACTATCACACATTTAGACTGATTTGTGAACAATGTTTGAGAAAAATGGTAATATTGTGTATCTGGAATGTATTTTAGATCTTTATGTCCATCTCATGGAAAATCGGAGCAGAAACAAAGGTATTGCGTTTATATTTTTGTTGAGTGTATGTGTAAATGCGGTGTTGGTCAGAACTTCAGAATCTCGGAAAGCGGCGTCTCTGGATGAAAAAGAATTTGGTTTGTTCTAAACTATGATGTTATCTTCAGAAGCACATTCAGACGCAATCTCTGTGTTCTACCTCACCCTTTTGATGACCTTCGTCACGGATTCGGAGGTCAGAGAGGCAGGATGACCTCTGGGCACCCAGGTCCGGTAGATTGACTGCGAGCACCGACTTCTCCGGTCCAAAAGATATCACCACGCAGCACAGGTTGGAATCAGCTTGCGTCTCAGGAATAACTCTTAAGGAGTTGAACAATATCAGCTTTGTTCTGCATGAACTGTTTGCTGTCTCAGCTTTGTAGGTGCAAAAAGGTTTTGATGATGTGTCAAAATCTTTGATTATTAAAGAGATATGCTAAAGATGGCCGGTCTGAAGCTTTCTCTAGAACTGGCAAATCACTCAAAGTGATTTAGTTTTAAAGAATTTATGTTATGATTTTCACAGTCAATCAGAGGCTGACAGGAAAGAAGATGTTACCAAGACAACTCAGAAACACGCCTTCTTTAATATGGAAGTCCTGACTGGTAAAGAAAACAAGTTATGTGTTGTAGTCTAACTTAACCGTACTTGTTATTGTGGATGTGCAGGTGTGAGGACCTTGTCGTCAAAACATCTGAGGAGACAGAAAAATGGGAACGGTGCGGTAAAGTTATGAGGAAAAACATTCAGAAGTTAACCTTTCTACCTATTACTTACCTAAAAATGTTTTTGTGTAACAGATGATGCATTCTGGATAATTGGAGTGTCGAGAAAACCGGATGACTTTTGAACGTTTTGGTGAGTAGGCAGTTTTAAGACCGCTAACGGACTAGCAGCAAAAGCTTATCTTAAAGTGAAACTGAGTTGGAAAAAACTTATTTATGTGCTAAAACGTTTAAGTACCAGTTCACTGACAGTATGTTGAAAATGTATTGGTTTTAATCACTAGTATGAAGCTAGTCTGGTGACATTGAGGGGGGGGGGGGGGGGGGGGGGACCTTGCCACGCAGTCGTGGCCGCAAGTTATTTTTCCCCCTCAAATGTCACCAGACAGGCACCATAATAGGAGTTTTCCATTTGCTGTAACATTTTTTCTTTGCCAAATAACCTCCACTTTGTACAGCGATACTGCTAAAAGATGGTGATGAAACCAGAGACCTGATTTTTTTATGAATGGGTAAATTAAATGATTCTGTACTTAATTATTTAAAGAAAACTTCACATCTGTGAAAACACTTTTGTTAAAAACAGATTTACAGCCATGATTTAAGGTTATATTTTTATCTTTTGGGAAGAAATTATTACAAAGAAAAACATTGTAATAAAAATGGATTTTTGTAAAGATTTATTGTGCTCAATAGTAATCTTTGACATGCTATATACAGGGTACATGTGCTATATATGACTATCAAAGGTATTGGCCAGACTCAGCATTAAAATTGTAAAAATTCAGTGTAACTATACTTTACCAATTATATAAATATGAACTTGGTTCAGTTTTTCATTTTGTTAAAGAGCAAGTCACCCTCAAATCAACTTTTTTTGCTATTAAACTATATAAATGAGTCTCTAATCGTTAGGGGTATAACAGTACGCTAAAATCGTATTCGATTCGGTTCAGTGTTTTGAAGAGCTCAGTTCAAATCGTTTTCTGTATATTATTATATTTATTTATTTTTTGTCTGAAGCGGCTTCTGTAGTGAGCAGAACCAGGTGTCCTCACAAGCTGCTGATCTAGTATGATGTCTTTAAATATTTCACAGTTTATTTGCGCAGCTATGAGTGTCACTCTCATACGTGTTTGACTGTTGATGCGCCTTGTTTTTATTTCTGCAGTGAGCCTTGAAAACTCACCTCAGACTGCCCACTTTCTTCTTTAAAACTCATATTAGAGGGTATCCGCAGGTCCTTAAAAAGTCTTAAAGTTTTAAATTTGCTTTTTTAAATTTAAGGTCTTAAAAATCATTAGAAATGACAAATAATCCTTAATTACAGTTTCCAAATGTCTTAAATTACCAAAGACCCAATGAACAAGAATTTGTAGTTAGTGTTCAGCATTTTTTGTTTATGATATTGGCATAAGTGGAACTGTACACATTCAGTTGGTTGTGAAAGGGGGCTATTTTTAGATGAGCACATTAGCTGGTTAAGCTAGTGGGAGCTTGCACCATGGGGAAGTGCAAGTTTAATGGTAACTGGGTGGGTAATCCCACGTTTGCGACGTGGTTAGCACCAGTGCCAGGCAATAGCTGAAAATTATAGCTTAAATATAATTAAAAAATAGCTTAAATTTGGTCAAAGTGGCCTTAAAAAAGGTCTTAAAAAGCCTTAAATTTGGCTCCCTTAAACCTGCAGATACCCTGTTAAATAACGAGCTTTCTTCGCATCGTATTTTTTGTTGTAGAATGAAAACATTACATCAACTGCCGTGGGGGAAAAGTTCAGTAGACATGTTGTTTACGTTCAGCGTCTCTACTGTCTCCACAGTAGCAGCGACAGCCAGCTGGTTTGATCTGCTCAGAAAGACGTTGATCAGAATTTGCAGATCACCTTTTTTAATCGGAGATCAGGTGCGTGCAACCATCATGCGTCACTCAATACAGCGTCGGTGCGGAAACTCGCCTATGAACTTTGATCTGCTGCACTTAAATCATGCAAACAAAATTTCATTATTTAATGGAAAATGAACCAAAATGGTACGCAAGTGGCCCGAACCGTTAAACCCCTAATATATACATGCAGCTGTAAAATTGGCAGCACATAATTTTGTTTTTTTTTCTGTAGATTACTGAATTACACATCAGGACAGTATGATGGAGTTAAGACCTGTAGTCAGCTGAGAGCTCCCGGTGGTACGAGCACAAAAATTAAATATTTAACAAAAGTAAACAAACTGTACCGATTTTGGTTCGTAAGACTAACAGAATCCTTCCCGGTGTCCAAATCGGGTCGCGGGTCTTCTGCGTCAAACGGTCCAAAACATGTCTGCACCTCCGGTAGTGATATCCAGCTAGCGGGGTCGGAGTTCGGTTGAACTTCTCCGGTAGTCATCCCAGAGAAAAAAACAATCTGACCGACTAGCAGAGGCTTCAGAAGCTACATCTTGACTGATGACACATTGTTCTCAGCTATAACTCTGACACAGAAACATCGTAGTCAGGTGCTTTTTCTTCAGACCTCCTGTGAAACGTCACCAGCTGTCTAGGGCTTAGACCTGAAGCTAGTTTCTGTTTTTCCCGCGCCAGTCAGAAACATCAGATTTTCTTCAAATTCCAGCCGTGAAAATCCAAAAACATTTTTCATTGAGGTTTTATACTTTAAACATGCCATTCAAAGGAATTTAGCCTGTGGCCAATATCATTAAGATAGATTTTGAGTACTAGATAGTAAAGCCTCTATTCTGTGGTTAGAAGTCTCCTCGACGAGGGAGTGGAGAGCCGGACCAGAACACATCATCTCCTTTTCCAAGGGTGATGAACGAGATGTACTGAACCTCACTGAGGAAACAGCACCGGCAGGATTCAGCAGTGTGGTAGGACTGACTTTGGGTTGCAATGATTATAAATTTATAAAAAAAATTTGCCCCCTCAGAGTTTTCATGAATGTTAACTAGATCTATTAAAGCTTAAAGGGCTTTCTGATCAGTTTATCTCTGCTGTCAAATTGGCATTTTTGACATGTGATTCGATGAGGATTAGCTCTCTTCTGGTGGATGAGGGTGGAAATGCATTTTTTTTGCCTCTTCCTTGTTGGCTTCACTTTCATACCAGAATTATGGGGGCTGTCGTGGTGGAAATTATTCCATCTAACCACTCCCTGGTTCTTTGGAGGTGACCCTGAAGAGAGATCCACACTTTAAGCTAGGGCTGGGCGATATGGCCTAAAACTAATATCACAATATATTGAGGATTTAACCTCAATAATGATAAATGGACCATAACTGCAGGTAAGTTGTCCACTAGATGGGGCTGTCACATGTATTATATTTAGTCACATTTTTACGCATCTCAAGGTGGTACAGCTTCTTAAAGGGACATAAATGTTGCCCAGCTACACACATCTTTTCATTTTTTTATTATCAAATTTATTGACATGGGAAAAATGATCTCGATAAGAGTCAGAAATTTCGATAACGATACATTTTCGATTTATTGCCCAGCCCTACTTTAAGCCCATTATAATATGTACACACACAAAGATCTTTGGTTGGCTTCTGGTGAGAAGAACACAAGCAGTTCCCTGCCGATGTATCTTCTAACTTTCGACTCTTCTCGTCAGCCCTTTTATTGAATTGCATGAAAATTTTTTTTAATTTTACAACAGTTCCACAATAGACTGGGGCGTTCCCACTTCACAGTCATACACTACTCCTCCTCATGTGAGCGGTCTTCATGAGTTCACAGTCTAAAGCACCTTCTGACTTTCCCTGACCCTCAACATCCAAGACTTTTTCTAAGACTGAACTTGTGATCTCTGGCTCAGCAACGAGGTCAAAAGTTTATCAATCAGACACTTCCCCATGACATAACTCGTGATCTTCTTTTGACCACAAGCAGTAAGAGTCAGGCCATTGTTATAGAAACTTTCAACACCAATGTTTTCTGGAACGTTATCTCTGTTAGTCTGCAGCACTTCGACAAAGTTTTATTTCCTTATATATGAAGATTAAATGATTGACCAACACATTCATAACCTGACAGCAATTAGACTGAAGTTGACTATATTAGTTTAAACAGAAAAGGTTATATTGGTTAAGTGTAAAAATGATTACTCTCAAAAAGATTATATTGATTAGCTTTAAAAATGATTATGCTGATTAGGGCTGCAATGATTCCTCGAGTAACTCGAATGATTCGCTGACAAAAAATATTCGAGAATTTTCCGCTGCCTCGAGGACTCGTTAAATAGACCATAGCTGAATATCCGGCATTGCGCATGGATTCTTTATGTGTTGCGCAACGCGGTTACGTCACAGATTATACGTGCCATGTACTCTACTGCACAGCGCGCAGCGGTCTTTTCGTCTTTTCAGCTGGGTAGCCGACAATGGCAGACGCCATGGAAATAAATGAAAACGAGCAAGACCAAAACGAAGGATATAGTAAGCGACAGAAGTTTTCCAAGGCATGGGATCACTTTACATTAAAAAGCAAGGAAAACGCCATTGTATGCAAGCATTGCAAGGTGGAGCTACCACAACAGCACTTCTTCCATGCTGCTGCACCTCTTAAGAAAGCATCCGACTGAGGGCATGAGTGAACGTGCCGAGATCAGGTAAATAAACTTTTTTTCAGGACGTAAATATTGACTCAGCTGTAGTGTCAATAAAATACATTTATTTGTTATAAGTTAATTTTAAATTTCTGCCCTAAAATGCATCTGTTAAGTGTATATTTTTAAAATTGGTTTACAAAAAAAAATCTTTGTGTAGCGGAGGCAAATGTGTATTATTTATTTGATATTCTGTATAAATATACAATATTACCTTACTTGATCTTTATTGTAAATATCAGAAGATTATAGGATTTTTGCTTTATTAAGTAATTATACACACCTCGTCTTGATTCAGAAAAGAGTCAGGTTTATAATTGTAAGAATTTATTTTAGAAACAATTAAAACATGACAAGTGAACTAAGCATTTACTGTGAATGGATGGAGCTAAAGGTGATGTAGGAACCTACACTCAACAAAAATATAAACGCAACACCTTTGTTTCTGCTCCGATTTTTCATGAGATGGACTTAAAGATCTGAAATTCAGTCCAGATACACAATATTACCATTTCTCTCAAACATTGATCACAAATCAGTCTAAATGTATGATAGTGAGCACCTGTGCTTTGCTAAGATAATCCATCCCACCTCACAGGTGTGCCACATCAAGATGCTGATCTGACATCATGAGTAGTGCACAGGTGTACCTTATACTGCCCACAATTAAAGGCCACCCAGGAATGTGCAGTTAATTGCTTTATTGGGGGTCTGGGGACTCAGAACCGGTCAGTATCTGGTGTGACCACCATTTGCCTTATGCAGTGCAACACATCTTCTTCGCATAGAGTTGATCAGATTGTCAATTAAGTACCGGTCAGTATCTGGTGTGACCACCATTTGCCTTATGCAGTGCAACACATCTTCTTCGCATAGAGTTGATCAGATTGTCAATTGTGGCCTGTGGAATGTTGGTCCACTCCTCTTCAATAGTTGTGCGAAGTTGTTGGATATTAGTGGGAACTGGTACACGCTGTCGTATACGCCGGTCAAGCACATCCCAAACATGCTCAATGGGTGACATGTTCGGTGAGTATGCGTGGCCATGCAAGAACTGGGACATTTTCAGCTTCCAAGAATTGTGTACAGATCCTTGCAACATGGGGCCGTGCATTATCTTTGCTGAAACATGAGGTAATGTTCATGGATGTACGGCACAACAATGGGCCTCAGGATCTCATCACGGTATCTCTGTGCATTCAAAATGCCATCAATAAAATGCACCCGTGTTCTTCGTCCATAACAGATGCCTGTCCATACCATAACCCCACCACCACCATTGGCCACTCGATCCACAACATTGACATCAGCAAATTGCTCATCCGCATGACGCCACACACGCTGTCTGCCATCTGCCCTGAACAATGTAAACCGAGATTCAACCGTGAAGACAACACCTCTCCAACATGCCAGACGCCATTCAATGTGAGCATTTGCCCACTCAAGTCTGTCACGGTGACGAGCTGGAGTCAGGTCAAGACCCCGATGGGGACGACGAGCATGCAGTTGAGCTTGCCTGAGACGGTTTCTGATTTAAACCCTCTCAGTTCTTTGTCTTTTGTTGGTTCATTGTTTCAGTGTCCAGCGTGTTTTTATATTAAACTATACTACACGTTTGTGTCTATCTGCCTGCCTTCCTCACCCACATGTGGATCCTCACCTCCGCTTCACTCACCAGCACGCCGTGACAGAATGAAACAAACTCCTAAAGGATCCAGTGGGGAGGTTCTCCCCTGGGAGTACCTGCTTCAGTTCCTCACCTCAAACCACCGGCCGGCTTCTCCTCCTCCGGCGTCGCATCGCCGCAGACGCCGCTGCCGAACCCCGGCCTCGGCGATCCTCTCCACCCTCCCGGAGCCAGTTGGGGGGTTGGACTGGGAGACGCAGCTAGACCGCTCCTGCTATGTGGGCACCAGACTGGCAGTGTGCTCCCCCAGAGTTAGCCCACGGTGTTGGGAAGGATGCCGGGCTCCAGCGTCAACCCCTGTCCCAGGACGGAACCACGGGCTCACCGCTACCCCGGCTTGGGACACCAGCTTGGACCCACCCCAGTCAGATCAGCGGCCCCATCTCCGGTCCAGTCAGCACCTCCTTCATCTACAGGCGGAGGGCCCACGCCTACAGCCCATCAGACGGAGCTCACCAGCCTCCAAGTGGAGCTTGACTGGCTCCGTCAACTCATCAGCCTCCAGGAGTTCCAGCTGGACATCCTATCCTCCTCGTATCTCCAGGAGAAGGTTTCTGTCCAGCCAGCGGCCCCACCTCCGGTCCAGTCAGCAGCTCCCTCGTCTCCAGGCCAAAGGACCGAACCCACAGCCCATCCAACAGAGCTCGCCGGTCTCCGAGCTGAGCTGGTCCGACTCCTTCAGATTTTCAGGCTCCAGGAGCTCCTGGTGGACAATCTAACCTCCCTGCTTTTCCAGTTACTGGCTCCACCAGGTCCTGCGCCACCAGTCCAGTCTGCGCCAGGTCCCGCGCCACCAGTCGAGTCAGCGCCAGGTCCCGCGCCACCAGTCCAGTCAGCGATAGGTCCCGCGTCACCCGTCCAGTCAGCGCCAGGTCCCGCGCCACCCTTCAAGTCAGTGCCAGGTCCCGCGGTGGTCCAATAGGCTCCGTTCCGGGCCAGCCTGTCCAAGAGTCTCCGCCCCGGAGCCAGCCTGTCCAAGAGGCTCCGTCCCCGAGCCAGCCTGTCCAAGAGGCTCTGCCCCCGGGCCAGCCGGTCCAGTTGTCAGCGCACAGTCCGGCGGCACCAGCCAAGGAAGCGGTCCCGTCTGCAGCGGTTCCGCCTCGACTCCAGAAGTTGGCGGCCCCTCCTGCGGCGCCTCCACTCCAGAAATCGGCGGCGCCTCCAGTCCAGAAGTCGATGCCTCCAGTCCAGAAGTCGATGCCTCCAGTCCAGAAGTCGACGCCTCCAGTCCAAAAGTCGACGCCTCCAGCCAGGAGGTCGACGCCTCCAGCCCAGATGTCAATGCCCCCATCCCAGGGGTCGACGTCGCCTCCAGCCCAGGGGTCGAGGTCTCCTCCTCCAGCCCAGAGGTCGGCGACGTCTCCTCCTCCAGCCCAGAGGTCGGCGACGTCTCCTCCAGCCCAGAAGTCGACGACGTCTCCTCCAGCCCAGAAGTCGACGACGTCTCCTCCAGCCCAGAAGTCGACGACGTCTCCTCCAGCCCAGAAGTCGACGACGTCTCCTCCAGCCCAGAAGTCGACGACGTCTCCACCTGCCCAGAAGTCGACGACGTCTCCACCTGCCCAGAAGTCGACGATGTCTCCTCCAGTCCAGAAGTCGACGACGTCTCCTCCAGCGTCTCTACCTGCCGAGTCTACCCCTGCAGCGGCTCTGCCTCCGGTCACCGCCGGTCCTGCCCTCGCCAGGTGCGGAGGGGCCACGCCTACAGCCCATCAGACGGAGCTCGCCGGCCTCCAAGTGGAGCTTGACCGGCTCCGTCAACTCATCAGCCTCCAGGAGTTCCAGCTGGACACCCTATCCTCCTCGTATCTCCAGGAGAAGGTTTCTGTCCAGCCAGCGGCTCCACCTCCGGTCCAGTCAGCAGCTCCCTCGTCTCCAGGCCAAAGGACCGAACCCACAGCCCATCCAACAGAGCTCGCCGGTCTCCGAGCTGAGCTGGTCTGACTCCGTCAGATTTTCAGTCTCCAGGAGCTCCTGGTGGACAATCTAACCTCCCTGCTTTTCCAGTTACTGGCTCCACCAGGTCCTGTGCCACCAGTCCAGTCTGCGCCAGGTCCCGCGCCACCAGTCCAGTCAGCGCCAGGTCCCGCGCCACCAGTCCAGTCTGCGCCAGGTCCCGCGCCACCCGTCCAGTGAGCGCCAGGTCCCGCGCCAGCCGTCCAGTCAGCGCCAGGTCCCGCGGTGGTCCAAGAGGCTCCGTCCCCGGGCCAGCCTGTCCAAGAGGCTCTGCCCCCGGGCCAGCCTGTCCAGTTGTCAGTGCACAGTCCGGCGGCACCAGCCAGGGAAGCGGTCCCGTCTGCAGCGGCTCCGCCTCCACTCCAGAAGTTGGCGGCCCCTCCTGCGGCACCTCCACTCCAGAAGTCGGCGGCGCCTCCAGTCCAGAAGTCGGCGCCTCCAGTCCAGAAGTCGGCGCCTCCAGTCCAGAAGTCGGCGCCTCCACTCCAGAAGTCGGCGCCTCCAGTCCAGAAGTCGACGCCTCCAGTCCAGAAGTCGACACCTCCAGTCGAGAAGTCGATGCCTCCAGTCCAGAAGTTGACGCCTTCAGTCCGGAAGTCGACGCCTCCAGCCCGGAGGTCGACGCCTCCAGCCCGGAGGTCGACGCCTCCAGCCCAGACGTCGACGCCCCCAGCCCAGACGTCGACGCCCCCAGCCCAGACGTCGACGCCTCCAGCCCAGACGTCGACGCCCCCAGCCCAGACGTCGACGCCCCCAGCCCAGACGTCGACATCGCCTCCAGCCCAGGGGTCGACGTCTCCTCCTCCAGCCCAGGGGTCGACGTCTCCTCCTCCAGCCCAGAGGTCGGCGACGTCTCCTCCAGCCCAGAAGTCGACGACGTCTCCTCCAGCCCAGAAGTCGACGACGTCTCCTCCAGCCCAGAAGTCGACGACGTCTCCTCCAGCCCAGAAGTCGACGACGTCTCCTCCAGCCCAGAAGTCGACGACGTCTCCTCCAGCCCAGAAGTCGACGACGTCTCCTCCAGCCCAGAAGTCGACGACGTCTCCTCCAGCCCAGAAGTCGACGACGTCTCCTCCAGCCCAGAAGTCGACGACGTCTCCTCCAGCCCAGAAGTCGACGACATCTCCTCCAGCCCAGAAGTCGACGTTGTCTCCTCCAGCCCAGAAGTCGACGACGTCTCCTCCAGCCCAGAAGTCGACGACGTCTCCACCAGCCCAGAAGTCGACGACGTCTCCACCAGCCCAGAAGTCGACGACGTCTCCTCCAGCGTCTCTACCTGCCGAGTCTACCCCTGCAGTGGCTCTGCCTCCGGTCACCGCCGGTCCTGCCCTCGCCAGGTGCGGAGGGACCACGCCTACAGCCCATCAGACGAAGCTCGCCAGCCTCCAAGTGTAGCTTGAACGGCTCCGTCAACTCATCAGCCTCCAG